TCCCTCCTTTGAAACACACAGCTCCGTCATTCCCATTCTCTAATCATCCTCGTTTTCTACGACACAGGAGAAACTCACCGATACCTTCAGACAAGCGAGTGAAAAATTGAAGGAATCTCTGAGTCACATCATGGCAGCCGCTTCCTTGGGCGAGGACGGAGGAGTTCAGGAAGGGAAGGAGGTGGAGGTAGCGCCGGTCCACACCTCTACAGGGAAGGATATTCTGAAGAGAGATTCGATCTCTATGAAGAAGGAGACTTAAGATTGAAAAAAGGGAAAACTATATATTATTCTCCATCAACAGAAACAGAAAGTTTCCGTTTTCTGAGGATCTTTTTTTAAGAATGGTTATCAGTTTGTTTTGTTAGTAGGTGAGGATGTTAGAAAAAAAATTATGTTGTTTTTGTTTTCTGTCTTTGTTTTTCGACGAAACACAAGTTTTACCACGTTAATGATAGTGTGTGTTAATTAGATGAAGATGATAAGTTTGAGCTTACAGGGGGTCATGTGCATGTTTAAACTCATTCTCTCTCTCTCTCTCTCTCTCTCTCTCTCTCTCTCTCTCTCTCTCTCTCTCTCTCTCTCTCTCTCTCTCTCCCTCCCTCCCTCCCTCCCTCCCTCCCTCCCTCCCTCCTCTCTCTCTCTCTCTCTCTCTCCCTCCCTCCCTCTCTCTCCCTCTCTCTCCCTCTCTCTCTGTCTCTAATAAGCATTAGAAAGACAGAAACAGCGAGAGAGAGAGAGCAACAGAAACCAATATTAAAACCATTTTACGTTTAAAAAAAAACACCTATCTTTCTCCACACGCACACGACCCCTCTTTCTCGAGCATGCAGACAACTTAACCATATCATTATACTATTAACGGTGCCAGGTTTGCTCCCACGTTTTCTAAATGTTCTAATTATAGAAATAAGGAAGACTAAAGAAAAAATGGTAAAGTCATTTACTGTAACTCTTTCGCTCAAATATGTAATCAAGCTGCACAAATTAAAGCTATGAAAGATATATATATAAATATATTTTTATGTTTGTTCATTTCTTTTTATTATAATTATTTTGTTTTTGTTTTTTCTTTAGATATATATGTATTTATACTTTCTTTACTTAAGTCATTGTGATAGAAAGGGATTGTGACCGTTTGTGATATGATTAATACCGAGCCGGTGTTCTAGATAGGCAAAAGAAATCAAAAGGCTAGTTTTTATTGGTGGTAAATATAAGATATGATAAATGTCCCAAATTTGTCCAACTAATTAATATAAACTAAACTGAACACCCCGTCCGAAGTAATGATAATAATAGTAATAATAATAATAATAATGATTATGATAATTGATGATGATTATAATGATGGTAATGATAGTATTTATGATAACGTTGTAATCAAAAGATTAAGTGAGCATATTGTTCATATTAAATCGGTTACTAACTTAGTGGTAAGTAGATTTCATGTTTGAAAAAAAATCTGTCCTTAATAACATTTTTAAGTGTGATTATTAACCGTCCGATATAAAAGAAGAAAAAAATATATATAAATGATTGAATTCATCAATCGTCCAATAAAACATTGATTATGTATATGTATAAAATATTTTCTTCCCAATGTCAAAAATTGCCTTATTAATATGACAAGATCATGCAGGAAATGATATAGAATTATATATTTTTTGTTATTAATAAATCGTTGTTTGTTGTGTATTTCTTTGTTTTGAAATAATTATTATTAAACTTTTTTCAATTTGATTATTTGGTGGACAAGATATTTACAGTTGCCTATTATGATATTTTGGGAGTATTATTAAATATTAATCTTATATTAAAAGGACTTTCTTGTTAATTATAAGGTAAGAATTAGTCTTAAGAATATTGGCTGTTGAATTTCCGAGTTAAGATTATTGTATAATATTAAGATAATCATTAAGATTCAAAATGGCCTTTTCTTCACAAAATTACATCCGCCATAATGATAATTTTACAAATACATTACTGTATTAAAAATATACGAATCCCTCGCTAAAATACTCCTAGTGTATAATGACAATGTGGTTTAACATTTGTATGTACAGCATTGTATACACAATATATTTATTATGTCAGCCATATCTTGATCAATATTAACTTCCTTTTTTATTTTTTAACGACAAAAAGTATGTATGATTTTTTTTCCGTTTTTTTTACGATTTTCTTACCAAGAGCTATTTAAGAACATGTATATTGAAAAAAGCTTAGATCTTTAAAACTACAAAATTAATACATAGCTTATTTGTCCATTCTATCTTAATGTAAATGAGCCACTATATTCACTTTTAATACCCTCCAAAAAAATTATTGATAATGATGAGCTAATGGTATACACACTTAAACATTATAATTAATGTTATTGACATGTTTGCTATTTGTAAATTGCTACTGTCATATCAAAGTGGCCTCTGTGTGTGTGTGTGTGTGTGTGTGTGTGTGTGTGTGTGTGTGTGTGTGTGTGTGTGTGTGTGTGTGTGTGTGTGTGTGTAAATCTGCAAGATTCTCCTATGATAATATTTTGAGGAAACTTTGATTTTATGATTGCATAACAGAAATTCTGTAATGTTTGGCATTTATCAAACTTAGAATTTATTTTATTGTTATTATTATTTTATGAAGTGATTTATTACCAGGTATAATCAATGTGAGGTTTTACATTTTTTTAACAGATAAAATATGGACATGTTATCTTCAAAAAGTTGATATTGATAACATAAAAGTATTATTTTTTCTACTCTATCTGTACTCATAATACAGGATAATTAATGCGTTGTTATAGCTACGTTTGCGGGTGCTAATTACGTTCAGTAGATATATTTGTATTATTGATTTTCCTTGAAAGATTGAAGACTGTATTAGTACACTGATGCATAGATATATTATTTCAAGCTTATAGCTGTCTAGAGAAAGCATGTGATATACTTAGCTTTGTTTTCTTCATATCTTGTTGTTTTTTTTCATTTTATTTTGTATTTTAAGATTTATGGAATCGGAGGTGGTGAACGAGAGAATTGATAATATATGTATTAATAGCTAAATTCATTATTTCTTTCTATGTAAAGTAAATTGACAGACTGGATTTAACCAAATTTAGCAAAGGTTATTATGTAGATATTGGAAATTTTCACAATACACAAGACCACCATCTCCGACACACCCCATTTTCTATACGCACATGAAATAATAGCCTTTCCTGTTTCCTCTCTTAATAATATGTTGTTGATTGTTCGAAAGAAAAAGAAAAAAAAAGTAGACGTGGGAATTTCTATGTAAATAAAATGATGATACTGATAAAGATAGCATTTTGATTTGCCTTTATGGATGAATGTATGTCAGTGAACTATAAAGAGTATGGCTATATATGGCTTAGTAAGCAAGGAAGCTCGGATAGATTTTTAAACAATACGTATATATAATTGCTTTCACTGGGTTAGAAACTTATGTGTCTATTTTCTTTGCTGGTTTGAAAATAGTCCAATTTGATTCTGTGATAATGAGAATGCGCTAATGGCAATGGTAATATTGACAAATAGGCCTAATATTAACAAAGTACCATGCATTTCTATATTCCTATGGAATATAATATTCCTATGTATTCAGTTCTTAAAGTTGTAGTTTTTGTATTTTAGTTTAAACTTTGTGTGTGTTTGTATCGAAAAACTGACACTTGTAAATACAGTATGAAATCTTATATGATTAAACACATTATATATATATATATATATATATATATATATATATATATATATATACATATACATATACATATACATATACATATACATATACATATACATATACATATACATATACATGTGTGTGTGTGTGTGTGTGTGTGTGTGTGTGTGTGTGTGTGTGTGTGTGTGTGTGTGTGTGTGTGTGTGTGTGTGTGTGTGTGATAAAGTATACAAGATGAAATTAGCAATTACAGTAACATAAATAATAACAAGAGTGATAAAGGCACACATAAACCGATATCTTTCACAAACATATGTCTTCCTGCAAAGGTAATAAAAGAAAGATTTTTTTTTTTATAATTAATTCCTTTATATCAAAAGAGATGTAAATACACAAGACCTTATACAATAATAACAGAGTTTCCTGTATTTAATTCCAACAATAATGTAACAAGAAGTAGACATGATATAATTTTGGATGACATAGAGTATAAATTAATCAATTTGAACAACGTAATGATGATATGCTCTAAGAATGAAAATATTTCGTCCTGGAGAACTTTCTTTCTCTCTCTCTTTTTTTTTCCAAAATACCATATAACATTATAAAAATATATAGAAAGAACAAGTCATATTACAAGACACATGCAAAGACATTTTTTATTTTCTTATCAAGACAGAGATGATACAAAAAAAAGGGTGAGATACAAGAATCTAAATAGATGTTTGTTTGTTTGTTTTTTTGAAAAGGAAATAACAGAATACAAAGGCTTAATACATGACATTCTCACCTAACACGTCATGATTGATTCCCAGCATGCACTCAAGGTTGCTAAAAAAAAAAAGACCAAACAACAGAACAGTTAAACCATGTACTCTCGCAGTTTAAAATGAGCTCTTGATTTCTTGCCATAGATCAGCACTCACAGTATGAATATGTATGTATTTTTTTTATATGAAATTTCTTCATTTTATTTGTATTTTTAATTTCTTATTGTGGTTATTGGACAAGCTTTAATGCAAGTGATTTTAGGGGTTAAATTTATAATAATAATATTATTAATTGATAAAAAGGTTGTAGAATTTATTTTTTGATTGTATTTAATATATTGTTTTTTTGTTTTTTTGTTTCATATTGGTTTTGTAATATTAGTTTATTACGCGAATATGATCACATCTGTAATACTACTTATGTTAAGTTTGGATGAATGTTTTAGAACAATAAGTTTAGGGTGGTAATAGGTAACCAGTATGGAATATATATATTTTTTTTTAATTGTGTTTGCTATAGCACTTTTTATATTTTTGTTTTTGTTTTCATGTCGCAGTTATGTGTGTGGTATTAGTTTATTACATGACTATGATCATAACCGTAACCATATTCTTGAAATTTGCGAATTGTATTAATGCAGGTGATTTTGGGCTGACAATAATCTCTATTTTGATTATTCTTAGGTAGTCATTTGGCACTCACAATCCATGGTCTGAGCTCACATTTCCCTAATAACAATCTCAACAATAACAAAAGAGTCTACCATAGTCTTGGGATATCACCTCTTTACAGTGAAGAAAAAATAAATAAATAAAAAACAAGTGTTAACAAGGGTGATTCACAAACATGTTTATCAATAGTACATATAAAAGACGTATAAAATAACGTAAAACACTTCAGTTGATTGCTCTAAGAAAGAATTAAGTAATTCTTCTGAGACACTTAACATTTTCTTGGCACTTTTTCTTCTCATCACAGACGTTAAGTGGTACACAGCCACTGTAAACTATATATTTACAATTTTCATCTATGAATCTCTTAAAAAATATATTTTTTTACAACCAACAACACTTTTCATGTTCTGTTTCACTTCTCTTGAGTACTTAAAATGCACAAACAAACTGTTCGTCTTTTGTTTATTTAAGATTAATTGAGCTTCAGGTAAACATGGCATTGGATACGAACTACACAGTTCTGTTCGTTTCCTTTGGTAGTATACTTTTTTACTTGTTTTAAGTTCTAAGAAGTCCTTGACCACTTGGTCCCGTTCCACCACTGTGCACAAAAGCCAGTCCAGTTTAAGAGTTCTGAATTGTTTCAAAAGAGAATATATATAAAAAAAAAAATAAGTGTCGTTGGTAATGGAATTTCTTGAAGATCTAGGCGTGAGATACGACAGATAACAGCGACCTGAGATCGTATCTTCCTTCTTCCTCCTGCTCCTCCTCTTCCTTCCTCTCCCCTTCGTCTTTCTCTTATAGTTCTTCTCCTTCTCCGTCTCTGTGTTCCCTTTTCCACCTTCTTCCTCCTCCTCATTCACTCTCCTCCTCTTTCCCCTTCTCTTCCTCCTCATCATTCATTCTCCTCCTTTTCTTCCTTCTCTTCCTCCTCTTTCTCTTCCTTCTCCTTCTCTTGCTCCTCCTCTTCCTCCTCTCTTTCCTCTCTTTCTCTCGCACTCTTTGGTCCACTTAACATAATTCTCACTTCTCCCTAACAAGAGTCCATGTTAAACTGTTCATTGTTTTATTTCCCATTTTTCTTCCTTTTTATCTTATTTTTCCACGTTCCCTACACCAAGCTGTATCAGAGAAGACCCAACTTCGTATAATTTTCTCCAAGAAAAGAATAATAATGAAGAAGAAAGGAAAAGAAAAAGAAAGTTTTAAGAAAAAAATCCTACATCGTCCTCCTCCTCCTCCTTCTCCGTCTCCTCCTCCTTCTCCTTTTTCTCCTCTTCTTTCTTCGACGCAGAAAACGTCCTTTTTTTTCTCTCCTCGAATTTTCAGACACGAAGTAGGGTTTCTCCTAAGCTGGCGGGACCTTGAGGCGCGACGCTAACATGAGCTGGAGATAAGCACTCTGGACGGGCCGGTTGCGGGAGAGCTGGATCAAAGCCTCTTCAAAACTGAACCATTGGCGAGCTCGACCTGGAAATAGAACGTGAGTTAGTTCATTTGGTTTGGAAGAGTATGGGGGATGTTTTTTTGTTTTTTGTTTTTTTTTGGGGGGGGGAGTTATGGTTCATGATGGAGCTTGATTTTGTTCTCTTTTTTGTCTGTTCATGGGTATATCCATTTATTTCTGGCTCTCTCTTTTACTTTCTCTTTTCCTTTCTCAATCTTCTTCTCTCTCTCGCTCTTTCTCTCTCTCTCCTCACTCACATCCTATCCTTCCCTTCCCTCTCCCTCCTCCCCCTTCCTATCCCTCCCCTCCCCCCCTCCCATTCCTTCCCTATCCCTTTCCCTCCCTCGCCCTCCTCTCTATCCTAACCTCCCCTAAAACTGCATAGCTGGCACCCTCCGTCGATCAGGGGTCTCTCTGGCACTCACCCAAATGAGCCTCGGGATATTGGGCATGGATCTGCTTCACCACCACCACGAAAACGGCTGTCCGGTGCTTCTTCCGTCCGCTGTGGTGCTTCGTCTGTGAAGGAGAGAGGGAGGTTGTTACTATTGTTATTTATCTATTTATTATTATTATTATTATTATTATTACTATTGTTATTATTATTATTATTATTATCATTATTATTGTTGTTGTTGTTGTTGTTGTTGTTGTTGTTGTTGTTGTTGCTGTTGTGTTCTTTTTGTTGTTGTTGTTGTCGTTATTTTTGTTGTTGTTTTATCATTATGATCATTATCATTTTATTATTATCATTATTATTATTATTACTATTACTATCCTTATTATTTTTATTATTATTATTATTATTATTATTTGTTGTTGTTGTTAAGTTGAAGCGGGCTGGTTTCACAATGCTTGACTGTCTTAAGAGAAGTAAATGAATAAGCAAGCGGATAAAAAACTCTCACTTCTATTGCCCAGACAAGTACCTCCCTCCCCTCCTCTTCCCTTCTCTCCCCCCCCTTCCTCTCCCTCCCTCCACCCCTTATCACCCTCCCTCCCCCCTTCCACCCATTTCCACCCTCCCTCCCCTCCCTCCCTCCCCTCCCTACCTTCAATCTCCTACCCTTAACCCCTCTGCTACAAGATCCCCCCCCCCCGCCCTCCCCTCCTCCCTCCCTTCCTTCTCCCCACCTCCCCCCTACCTTCAACCCCCTCTGCTACAAGACCTCCCCTCACCCTCCCTTCCCTCCCTTCTTCCCCCCACCTCTTCCCCTCCTCAAGACCCCCCCTTTGCCCTCTCTTCCCTCCCCCTTCCTTCCCTCCCTTCCTCCCCCCACCTCCTCTCCTCTTCAAGACCCCCCCTTCCCCTCCCTCCCCCCCTCCTCAAGATCCTCCCTTTGCCCTCCCCTCCCTCCCTCCCCTCCCTCCCTTCCTCCCCTCCTCCCTCCTTCCCCCCCTTTGCCCTCCCTCCCACCCCTTCCCTTCCTCTCTCCCTCCCCTCCTCCCTCCCCTCCCCTCCCTCCCTCCCCTCCCTCCCTCCCCTTCCTCCCCTCCCTCCCCCCCTCCTCTCCCTCCCTACTAAACCTTGCCACACTCTCGCATTGCTAGTGCGGTCGTTCGCTTGACTAGTTCCAGAGCTCTTTATCTTGCAATGAAATCAAAGACAGACAGATACATGAATAAACAAGACGGTGAATAAATAAATAGATGAATAAACAAATAGTGAATAAATAAATGGATGAATAA